GCTGTCTCTGTGTTAGCCTGAATAAAGACTCTCACGATCAGACCGGCTTTGCTTTCTTCCACCTACTAGTCCTGGGGACATAACAATATATGAACACCCGATAGGTCTTGTAGCCTGTTATTCCGGATGTCAGATAAGTAATCGTCACCTAACTACGCTAGCAATGTCTGTACTGGTAGGGCTTTTTTTACAGAGACAGTCAATATCCCAAAGTCACATGAATAAGTGCCTCAGGTTTTTTCAATCGTGTGCCTGTGCCTGAGCCAATTTCTAACTTACAAATACAGTAGATTGCTTACATCATCCCCGGAAGAGGAAGAAGAAGAGGAGGTGACTTCTGAGACCAAATTGTATTCCGGCTGACGTTTCAAAAGCTCGCTCGCTTCCATCGTCAGAGCAAGGTGGCTGTATTCCTGTGTGCGTCAGATAAATGTGAACGACCATTCGCCTTGCTTAATGCTCATGCGTCAATCGATTGCACCGATCGATTTTCGTGGCTGTTTGAAGTGCTCGCGTCTTCTTGAGCTTACAGAAGTCGCTTCTCTTCCTCCTCTTCCGGGGATGATGTAAGTAATATTTTATCTGGACCTCGAATTTTCTCGCCTATTAACGGTAGATTGCCTATCTCATGAAATGTGAAGCTACAGAGGGGGGGCGGGTTAACACATATTTGAGGTTGCTTATTTTGTTAACTGAATTGAATTGAGACGCAAAATGCTGTTTACTAGAAAAGGGTTCAGCTCAGTGTATTGAGGGTAAAGGTGAAGCAACGTGGGTCAAATGCAACTTGTGTTGATTTCTAAGGAAGTACCCACACTATGAGATGCTGCGCATCAAAACGTCCTGCTCATTCGTGTGGCAGTATAAAAGCATATTAATATAAGCCAGAAGCGTTTTAACGATAGCCTTTCAAAGAACGGATAATGTGGTCTTGGCTTCATGAAAATCAAGTAAATTCAGATATAAGAGATCGCATTGTTATAGGGAAAAGAAGAGCGGATTCAGTTTAAAAAATAATGTTTTACAAACCTGGTACGTTCTATGCCATAAAAGAAAGTATCACTTTGTGTACCTGTAGTGTTTTTTACCACACCGAAAATAAGTATCGTAAACCAGAATATATTTATGAACACTCGCGGCATGCCATCACCTTTCTCTGTCATGCCGTGTCTAAGAACTTTAAATCTACAGCAGAGTATAAACAAACACAGAAACTTGAACTGGAGCGGACAGAAGATTATCAGTTTTCGCAAAATCGTATTATAGATTCTGCCATTCCGTTTTTGCATTTGCAATCATAGAATGGGATCAAAAAATAAACAAATATACTGCAATCTCTCCCAGTACACATAGAAAAGCGAGTTCTTTCATTTACAGCAGAAGATTCGTCCCTAGTTTTCAGATGACTTAAAAACGCGCTCAAACGTCCCCATTTTTCTGTTGATGTAACCTTCGAAAAAGGTGAAGTATGCAGATAGTCAGCGCTTAAATATCTTATTAAAGCGTTTTTTAAGCGATAACTTTTTATGAAAATTACCTTACTTGATGATAAGGGTATTCATCAATGACATCTGTTGTGGACGCTCATTTTTGTCGGCAATGAGTTGACATGTTTGGGTGATTTAACACCATGACCTAGTTGCACTAACCAGCTACGTAAGAAGGAATGTCCACAAACTCACTATGTAGTGAAGTCTCTTCAGAAATGTCTTATTTTGAAGGTTTTGGTAAACAGGTAGGATAGAATCTGTAAGTGTTCGCTCATTATTTACACAACGATCTGAACCTTTTCGTAACTGTACACCCGAAATAATTACAAAGAAATGTGACGCAAGACAATTTCTCTTGATCTACACAAAATGGTAGTTTTACAATTGCGCCTGACAGTTTCATTCACATTCAGTAGTTACTGACTGGCATCTGTACGTGTTAGCATACAACATAACTGTCTCCGGTGACGTCTTAATCGGCGCAATTAAGCAAAAACTTGGTTGCCTTAGTCCAGCGTACCTGAAACAAAGCAAAATACTGACATTCGCATGAAACCATGTCGCAATACATACTCGAACGTCGCGCTGTTTGGTAACAGGCGTACTTTATATCGCGCACAATATGGAAACATATGTATCCTAACCTTTCACAAAAGGATAACTTACAAACGTAGTTCTACCTGTGCTGCTTTATTCACCCGGTATTTTGCATGAAGAGGCTCTCTCTTTCTCTCTCTCTCTGTAACACGCATTTTCCGTTTTTCTTAAAACCCAGTATTTCTGAAAAAAGTGGCAGTACTTAATAAACCGCAATATGTCTGCCTTTTAAAAATGATGGTTACCTTACCGTTATAAGACTCTGATTGATGCAACTTAAGCTGCCTCTGCATAACAGGAATGTTCGTGTAACGATCCTTCAATACCATAAGTTAGGGCACCTATATATTGTCCCTCCTGTTACCATGTAAATTGGAGTTTTGTACCCAGTTTCATGCCTTTGTGTCTTCCAAACTAGGTCATCTGCTTCATGCCAACCGACGTAGAGTGGACAAAGCAGGATGGCGCCGAAGATCCTATCGGCTTCCCGAACTACTCATCTGGTTTCTCCATCTTTCCCAGAAGTAACGCCAGCAGCTTCCGGACGCGGAGCATGTATGAGTCACGCAAACGCGTCTACAATTCAGCATCCGTACTCTACCAGGATACCCCTGTTAAGGCATCCGAAACTCCCCTGTAGCAGCTGAAACCCATCCAAAGCCAGGGCTGACACCTGCGCCGGGTTACAAAACACAGCCTGGTAAATACTAGCACAGGAATACACCAGTTCCCTCTTCTTTGTATATATATTTGTTCCATCCTGGGTCAATGGCCGACCAATTGCCCGCCTCACAACCTAGTACAGTTCCTTTTACAGCCAACAGCGCTGACGCGACTACTGTGTATTACCATTTCCTTGCAGGATCACCGGCAATAGCCCCGCTCCCAGTTCTGATGCAAAAATATGAGATTTCGAACAATGTTTGCCCTTTGTCCTTGGAGCCCACTGAGCTTCGGGAATGCGAAGGGGTTGCTCTACCTTTTTCAGTCCTTTTTAATTTTCTTTATCTGTGTGATTGATCAAAAAATAACGAAATAAAGACTGAGAGAGATGAGGGGAGACAGTGCTGTGTTCTTAAAAAGACATGGATGTTTGCGGGATTTGTATCACTTTTTCTTGCGCCAGAACAAAATATGTTCATCAGTCATACTAAAACGGGAAATTCTGAATTAGGTGACAGAGAAAGCCTTATACGACTTACTCGTTCCCGGCATGAACTCACTTGTAACACTCATCTGACTGTAATGCTTGACTTCACCCCAAGCCTTTCAAGTTATGCAAATACTCCGAGTTCCATTCACGTGAGCCTCTGGTACACCATATAGTAACGAATGTGCTAAAGTTCAAACAAGGTATTTTTCAAACTGTGTCGACAGTCTTAGCTGCTGGACGAAACCGCGCGTCCGAGTGTCTTAAAAATCAGCCGAGATGAAGATGAGGAGGCTGGAAAGCTCATATTCCTATCTAGTATGCCTATCGCAAAAATAGGATGCATGTCAGCTATTGATACAGCTATAGGAAATACTAACTTTCC